TAAGTCTTGTACGATTCAGACCATAATTAGTAAAAAATGATTTGATTGAAGTTTTTAACATAATTTTAAATAGCAATGAATTTGCAAATATTTGCAGGTTTAAAATAATTTTAGAAAACTTTACTTTGTTTCTGTTAAATAGGTACATTTAATTTGAACAGACTGATATTGTTTTTAATATTGTACAAAAAAATTACAGATGTTACATATTGCAGAAATGGAATTCAAAATCTGTTATTTTTCCTAGGAAAAGTTGGATAACCTGTTGTAATGAACTAGTTTTAAGTTATCGTTTTATGCAAGGCTGTTGGCCATTTATTTATTAATTAGCTTAATTGGCCAATTGGAGCAATTATTATCCGCGAGTCGAGCCAAAACCGTCCGTTTACCCCACTCTGACGAGTGCCGCGCGCACGATCCCACCAAGACTCCTACTCCAGGGGCGCGTTCAGATGTATCGTCCGGCGTTACCGGGCGTTGTCCAAACCGTTCAGCAGGGGGATCATGAATTTCACCTCGTTTCGAATTCGACATCCGACAGTTTAATTCGATTCGGATAGAATGTAGCGATCATGCAATTTAATCGAATTATGTTCGTGTTTTTCCGTAACTTTTATCCCATTATATCAAATTATTCTATTAAATGAAAACGTAGCCAACTTCTCGTTAATACATTTAACAACATAACCTCTCATAATTTCTAATTTGTGAATTCATTTTCTTTTTGCCGATGTTTAAATTAAAGGTAAGAAACCACTACTATATAGAAAAACGTGTGTTGTCATCACTCATTTTTTTTAGTTTAAAAAATGTTGCCCATCATGCACCAAGCTGTGTTAGCTGAAAGACACTGGAGGAGAAAAGAAATATTAATTTTACAAAGAAGAGTCCTTAGAGAAACTCATCAACCTTTTCAGCTGCCTTCACAGGCGTTTATTAATTTATTTAGATTAAATAAAATGCTCGCTAGGGAACTGATAGATTTGTTAAGGCCACATTTATTTGATCGTGTTAACAGGCGTGGGGTTACTGCTGAATGTGCTGTGCAGCTTGAGATTTTATGCAACAGGGTCATATCAGAGGTCTCTTGGTGAAGTATACAATTTTGGATTGGGCCAAAGTACAGTACAGAAATATATTCATATCGTCACTGATGCTATTGTGGAACAAATCGTACCACTGAAAATAAAATTTCCTACACAACAAGAAGATCGTAATAGAATAAAAGTAGAATTTTTAAACAGATGGGGATTTCCAGGAACTATTGGAGCTATTGATGGAACCCATATAGCAATTTTGAAACCCACTGTAGATGAACATAATTTCATCAATAGGAAAGGCTTTCACTCCATTAACACACAAATTATTTGTGACTATAACTTAAGAATAACAAATGTTTACGCAAATTTTGGTGGATCTACCCACGACTCTTTTATATGGAGAAATTCAGCCATACGAGAATATATCAGAGACCTACAAAGAAATGAAAGGTGTTGGTTGATAGGTGACTCTGGATATCCATTAGAAACTTGTCTGTTAACACCCTTTCGTAATCCAAACACAGTAGCAGAACAACGATATAATACAGCATATATTTTGGCACGAAATTGTGTGGAAATATGCATAGGGGTAATGAAGATGAGATTTAGGTGTATAATGCAAGAACGAAAACCTAGATATGCACCAGAATTTGCTTGCAAATTAATAAAAGTTGCAGCAACACTACATAATATATGTATTGATGGAAATATTCCACTGAATGAAGAAATTGATGTGGAGTATCGTAATCACCGTAATGCTGACAATAATTTAGAAGACCCTGAAGGCATGCAAAGACGAAGATATATAGCTCATCAATATTTTGAATAAATATAACTTCTCATTTTGCAAAATCATTGTTCTAGTACGTAAGGTAGAATTTTTTAATTTCAAGTGGAATAATAGCCAATTGCTATGACTTCACTCATGTGTTTTTGTACAATTAAAACTTTATTATTATATTATTTTTGGTTTCCATCACCGAATATAAACATACTGTAAGACTAAACCAATGAATTTTAAGGCATATATATATATTGTTTTATTTTTATGTCACTGGCAACCAAAAATATATTAAAAATTAATACGTTTTACTTTTTCATTAGTTTTGTTACAATTGAAAAGAAATAGCTTGCATTATTTTCCAAATTTATTGATGTTAAACATTTAAACAAAAATAAATATTTTAATACAAAAACAAACTACACTAAAATGGAACGATGAAACTGCAACATCATTTTTTGTCAATAATATTGTGCAAAATATTGGCAATCTCTGCTAGCCTACTGTCAATAGTGTTCTTTATATCTTTTAATACATTAATAGTTTCCTCATATTCATCAGAGTATTTGTCTCTCTTTCTTTTTTATTTTGTGTATAAATATGGTCATGGGCCAAAGGTGTAGTAGGTGATGAACAAAAAACTGTCATAATATCGGCTGATGTGGAGCTTGTTGACATAGAACATACATTAGTAAGTTCAGCACGGGGTTCAATATTTTGTTCATTTACAAATTCTACTTCTACATTACGAGAATTTTCTGAAAACATGAAAGGTGATATTCCGGCATCAGTAGTGGGTAGCCCTACCTCTGAGCAACCCATACCTTCATAAAATGAAGATCCTAAAATATTGCTGGGTCCCCCTCCTGTGGCCTGTTGATCTTTTTTTATTTCAATGACCTTTTTCTTTAAATTTTGTTTAAAATCTGTCCATGTCTGAAAAAAATTATTTTGATCATTAGTTTGTATACAGCAATCTGTTACAATTCAGTACGTATAATGAAATAGTTTTTCTTGAATATTCAATTTTCCTTACTTTTTGCTAGTCTTGGTTCCATAACCTAGGGCATTTAAATTATTTGCTAATTCTTCCCATTGTTGTCTTTGGATTTGTCTAGCATTGGGTCCTATGGTTCTCCCAGTAGCTAAATTAGGGTGTATTTGGAAGTAGTTAAAGATGATCTCCCAGTGGGTATCATTAACTCGGCAAGACATTCTAAAAGTAATGATTGAATGAATTACTCAATATTACTACTACTACTAATTAACCATACTATAAAAATATATCCTACCTCTTAATCTCTAATCTTCAATATTTCTACTTCATAGATAAGTGCTTCGTTTTTTCTTTATGATAATCTAAAGTCAGATACCTTTTAACCTCACTCTTTTCTCAAGCAAGCCCCAAACAGAGTAAGACAGATCGAAAAAAAGATAGAGATGCGGACAAATTCGACTGCTCTCTGGGTATCGAGTTTTAAGAGCGGATGGAGTCGAAGTGAAACAGTTTCTTGATCGCAATTTAGAAATATCCGATCAAAAATGGCGGATTCACATCGGATCGAAATTTTCATGATCCCTGTGCAGATTGCATGAGGTAAAAATTAACCAAACGTTCAGAATACTGCTCGAGGCGACGCCGGGTGTACAACTTTTTACCCCAGTAAATACTTGGGTAAAAATTGACGCGCATGCGCTTACACATCAGATAAGCATATTTTTGGTGGGAAAGCAGTTTGCAGGTTATATGTTATTCTTTGTTTACAAACTGAGCCCCAACGGTTTCTAAGTTGAATTCAGACAGCGGTTTTCGCCAAATTTGTTCCTCCTAATATTATTGAACATAATATGGAATCAATATCTACACACAGTCATAATTTGGTGATGGGTGAAGATAATAATTTAATTTTAGAAGAAAATGGAAAAGTTTTAATAACTAGAATAAGTCGTAAGATTCTATTTGCCTTATTTTTGTGTGTAATTTTTAGTTAGGTATATTATTTGTAAATGTACAGGTTAATGTTAGAAGTTTACCAATAGTTGCTTATTATACGATACTTATTATCTAATATCAACATTTACCGATTTTAGATGGGTCCTTACAATATGTAAATGCAGACGTTATAAGTCGTGTATTTGGAATTACCATTGAGCAACCAACATCAAATGTAAGTTTTTATATATAGATTTAGTTGTTAAATAAATTTATTATGTGGTAGAAAAAAGCGGACTAATAATAAATTAATATGTATTTTATTTAATTTTTTCTTCTAGGTGTCCAATTGTAATTTTGTCCAGGCACAATTAAGTCGCCCATGTGAAAATATTAACATGTCCGATGAAAATGAAAGTAGAAGAAACAGTTGGAATAGAAGCAGTATTCTAGTATTATTATAAAGATCATTTGCATTTGTTTAAATAAAGCCTCAACGGTAAGGAATGAAAAAGTATGGGATATGATTTCTAAAAAAATGGGTTATTCGTCTGAGCAGTGCAAAAATAAATTTAAATATTTAAGGGCAAAATATATTAGAAAAAAGACAATATGTCGGATAAAGCAACAGGTGCCAAAAATATTAACTTTGAATATTTTGAAGAATTCGAAGAATTGTTTGGTACTGATCCAAATATAACTCCCAAAGCTATTGCCTCTTCTAGTGGCAAGAGACCATACAGTCAAATCTCGATGGCAGATAGAAGTGAGGAAGATTCATCAGACAATAATCCGAAAAGGCAAGATAAAGAAAACAAAGGAAACCTTAAAAAGCGCAAGATAAATGTTGCGGGTCATTTGAAAAATTTGGTGAAAGAAATTCATTTAAAAGAAGAAAATAGAGAAAGACGGCATAAGGAAGTCTTAGAACAAAGAGAACGTGCTCTTGCCGATTTCAATAAGTATTTACTTTTCTTAATGGAAAATGAAAAGAAAAATGAAAAATAATTTAATTTTTGTAAAACGGTGGCAGTTGTACACTCCTTAGAATGTATAAAAATCATTTTTTGTTACACTTATAAATGGCTGTTATTTGTATAAATAAATGTATAGTTTATGTTAATAAATTATTAAAATTTGTCTTGTATTATAATTTAAAAATTGCTAAAAATACTAAAAATGGTAATTAAAATTGAAACACAAATTGGCTAAATTTTAAAACTTTTTATTTTGCCTTAGAAAGATATCAGTCATCAATAATTTCTAAATTTCTGGCAATTTGGTCTCGCAACAAACTACCTTCTGCTGCAATTTGATTTGCATTATGATCAAATTCATCTTCAGTATGTTCTTGATTACACATGGCTGATCTCCCTTCTTGATCATAATCGTCCAAAAGTGCATCGTTGTACTTCAAGCATATATTATGCAGCACACAGGCAGCTTGAACTGTTTTAGGTATTAAATCTATCCTGTTCATATCTAAATATTTTAGCCTTCTAAACCGCCCAAACAATAAAGCAAAAACTCTTTCTATTACTTGCCTAGTTTCAGCATGACTTTTGTTAAAATTTTTTTGATACCTGTTTAAATTTCCTCTGTCGATATATGAAGGTATGCACCAATTACAAAAAGGATATGCTTTATCTCCAATAATGAATTGATTTTCATCCAAAAAATTTGCAGCGTTCGCTGTAATGTCTTTATATAAATCAGAATGTTTAAATATCCGAGTGTCACTTACACTGCTTGGATAACCTACAAAGGTGTCTAAAAACTCTCTATTATAGGCGCAAACAGCTTGAAGAGTAATTCCATAAAAACATTTTCTATTTATGTAAACCTCTGCATTTTCAGATGGTGCTTTAATGGCAATATAAGTCCCATCGACTGCACCAACACACCCAGAAATTCTTCCACATTTATAAAACTCTCTTTCCATTATTTGTCTTTCATTTCTTGTTGGCCATTTTATAATTTCCGGTACAATTCTGTTTAATGCATTTATCACCCGTTCAAAACACACAAAAAGGCTCGACTTAGACATATCAAATCTTCCTCCTATTGACCTAAATAAAAATAATAAGAAAACATTCTTTCAGTTCCAGTTCAACTTACCTGTAGCTATCTGGAGTACCTAATATCCATATTGCCGCCAATAACTGTTTTCTTGGGTCAATAGTTGGTTTCCCACTCACTTCGCATTGACTTTTTAAATGGTCTTTTGTATTATTATACAAAAACTCAAAACTTTCCCTAGTGAGCCTAAAGTTTTTTTGGAATTCCTTATCAGTAAAATTAGGTACAAGTTACTCCACAAAGTTGTTTGTTCTGTTTAAATTAGTTCTTGCTGATATACTCATTAAAAAAGAAATCTGGTCTAATTCGTCGTCACTCTCCGATTCTTCATCATCATCAATAATCATTTTATACAACAGAGATACAGCAGCACTTGCTGTGGCACTTCTATGACCCATTTCAAAATAACTATAGAACTATATCTGATCGACACTAATCGACAGATGATATAGAAGTAAATTAAGGTTATGTTATGTTTATGAACTAAACTGACATGTATTTATCAACTCGTTCAGATTCATGTCACATCGGACGAACAACCAAGATAAATTTTATCGGACGTTTTTTAATTGCCGGGCGTTCCATCTGAACGCGCCCCAGTGGAAGACGTGAAGATGTCGGACTGTACTCCACCGCCCAAGCTTGATAAACGCTGTAAGGCACAATAACTGAAACTGCTGGTTTGGCTGGGTACTCCACCGCCAGTGGAAGACGTTGGCTGTTGGCTGTGCAACAACGGATAGACCCTCGAAGTTGGCTGGGTACACCGCTTCCAGGAGAAATCTGTCACCCGCCACGCGATCGAACGTGCACCTCGCTCAGACTTTACCTCCTGTTAACCAAATAATTCATTTTCCTGACTACCGTTTGCTTATTTATGCCCGTTGTAAATTGAATTGCTTGGCTTTTCTCCTTGGCTGGTTGAACCTCCGCTTAATTTCCGTTGCTTTGCTAGAAACCGCTGACCAAATTTATTTGTAGAATTAAGAGTAACCCGTAAATATTTTTCTCAGTTTCAGAGCCATTTGGGACCGATTTATTTGTTGAATATCTATTACTCTAATTTATTAACCTTTTGTTTTATTTCTAGCACCGACCGAAATTAAAAACCGCATAGCATACCGTTTTTAAGTGATAGATTGTTTATTGTAAAGTAAACCAACCGTATAATACTGAATCCATTTACCGTACCGATCTTGTGTCCTGACTACCGATTTTTAACAATTCCGTCGTAAATAATTGCTCTGACCAATTTTTATTATATCATTCACACCCCTTGTTATTTATTATTACATTCGTGATTTTAGTTTGTAAAATTGTAAGGAGAATTTAATTTTGTTTTTGATTGTTTCCGTAGGCCTTATTAATATAAAATAAATCTAGTAAATATATTTCCAGTTCTCTTCATTCTTAACACCGATAAGATTGATAAATTCGCAATATATTTTTGTTGGCCTACACTTATAAGTCCGTTTATTTTGAAAGTAAAATAACACTACACTCAGATAACAACTTTGATTGAGTAAGAGAAATATAACAGACCCCTGGAATTTAAACTTTCTTCACTGTAGCTACCTGAGTACTTACTCTAAACCGAGGGTAAGGTTTACGTGGAGTTTCCCCCACGTAAAAGATAGGGAAACTGGCGCCCGAGACTAACTAAATAGAAAGAATACAAACGGAGTACGTTCCTGTGACGTCACCCACCGCCGCCGGCTGTTAAATACCTCTGCCGATAAAATAGTAGTCAAGGTTCGTCACAAAATTAGACGCCCAAGCAGGGACGTCCGTGACGCTTTTGAATATTGTAAAGTATAATTCAATTGCGAATTAACATTCCGTTTAGAATTGGTAGTCTAGAGGGGCGGCCACCAGTAACGTCTGAACTGAACCGTCCATAAAGATAAAAATTAAAGGGCGTTACACTGCGCATTTGTGTACGTTGTTTGTATTTTGCCTTTAGTATATGTTTATTTAAAAAGTTAATCTAACTTGACAAAAATCTTAATATATTTTGGATATTAAAAATTGTTGAATTTATTCCTGTAATTGTGATATCCTTGTAGGACCTGAAGGTGAGGTGAAAAAGTTTGACCTCGAAACCGGTGGTCTATTTCAAAAAAATAAAAGGATTGTGAGAAATTGTACTTTTCTTCTTATTTCTAAAATAAATTATGATTATGACGAATTAAACGATTCTATTAGTTACTTCAGAAGTCTTTATAATGAAATATTGGAGTTTTTATATTTAGCAAATAAAAACTTTTTTCAAGTTAAGAATGCTTTTCCGGATAAATCATTCCTGTCGTTAACAGATCATTATCCAAAATGATTCAATGAATTAAAATTACGCAGTAAGTTACGCGTCTGGTATTCCGATCCAACATCTTTGAACAGTCGTCAAATTTTACAGAAATAGAATTCATATACAGGGTGATTCACAACTTATCCAAAAAAATTTGGGAATAGAAGCGGCATGAAAAATGGACGCAATATTGTAAATAAAATTTTTATAAAATCCTTAGTTTCCGGGAAAACAATTATTGAAGTTGTAGCACTTTCAACCATTACATGCCTGGACAACTGTAGTCTCAAGCGTCACTCACGTTGCGCGCTTTACGAAATGCGCGTGGAGAGCCACGTGACTCCAGCGACTCCAAACACAGAAATCCGATTTTACAGTTAGTATTAACGTCGTAGGTGTTTTGAATAGCTTTCCAGTAATTAGTGTTAAAAATGGCTTACGTGTACAGCAACTCGGAGTGGATGGATATCATTATAATTTACAGCAAAACAGAATGTTTTATCAGCTTCTCGTCTATAGGCAGAACGATTTCCCGGTAGACATGCCAAATGCAGCTATTTTTACCGCGGTAGTGCAACTCGAGCGTGACACGGGAAATTTGCAACCAAATCGTGGAAGAGATGGAGTTCCAGGGCGTCCACAGCGTATTGCAGCAGCTGAGGAACACATTTTAGATATTGTTGAAGAGAATCCCCGAATAAGGACCAGGCAAATCGCTCAACAAGTACAAGGAATGTCCCAGTCAACAGTGTGGCGTATCATACATGAGGCTCAATTATATCCTTACCATGTACAGCATGTACAAGCATTAATACCAAGGGATTATCCTTTAAGAATTAGATTTTGTGAATGGTTGCTGCAACAACATGCTCAAACTCCCAGATTTACAGCTGACGTGTTAGTTACAGATGAAGCTATTTTTATACGAAATGGGATGTATAACATTCATAATACTCATGTTTGGGATTTTGAAAATCCGCACACGATTCAACGGGATCATTTCCAAGAACGCTTTTCCATAAATGTTTGGGCAGGTATTGTCGATGATCGCTTTATTGGACCATTCATATTACCAAATCGAATGGATGGGGTTCAGTATCTCGAGTTCCTTCGAAAATAAATGATTTACCTGGACTTTTGGAAGATGTGCCCTTAGATGTCGCACTCCGAATGTAGTTCTTGCACGATGGTGCTCCCCCTCATTTTCGACAAAATGTTCGGGAGTACCTTAATGAAGTTCAAGAGATACGATGGATTGAACGCCACGGTCTCCTGACTTAAACCCTTTGCACTTCTTTTTGTGGGGATATTTAAAAAATGAAGTGTATCGCACCGAAGTGGACACTATTAATGATTTACGCGAACGTATCATAGCTGCTGCAAATAAATTACAAGTTCAAAACGGACAAGAACCAGATATATTTGTGTTAGTTCGCAGAAACTGGGTGAGACGGGCCCGAATGTGTCTACGCGTTGGTGGACAAAATTTTGAGCAATTGTTGTAAGATCAGGTATGACAAATAATTTTATTAATGAAAACCACAAATTAATTTTATGTATTAATTAGTAATAACAATAACGGTAAAAACAGTTGAATTTGCTGATATAAAATAGGTGCGATAAAATTCTATTTAGATATTTCTTTCCTTGCGAAAGATTTTGACCGTTTTTATCACACCGCCATGCCGGTCGCATTGTGTGAGGTCAGGTTTTACAGTGGACCAGTTTCCAGTACCGTGCAGAAGTGTATTTTTAAATCATTTTCGAACTGCCCTTTTTGATTTTTTCTTTACAAAATTGTATTTGTAAGGGTCCTCTGTACATCCAGATTTTTTTTTTTTTTGGATAAATTCTGAATCACCCTGTATACTATTGGCCTCAAAAATGAAGTTCCACAAATTTATAGTTTTTTCAGTTTAATTTTATCACTTCCTGCAACCTCTGCATCCGTAAAAAACAAATTAAAATATTTTCGAAATTGTATGGCACAAAAACGATTAAGTAATTTGAGCTCAATTGCAATTGAATCTGAATTAGTCACGTCAATTCAAAATTCTGAAGAATTTGAATTTTACGAGAAAGTAATCGATCATTTCGCATCACATTCCCATCTTTTTTCGCAACTTGTTCAATGTAGGGGGATTTCATATTAAATATTGAGATTCTGTTCGAAATCTACATTCTCTGCCTGTCACATGATCTAATATTTAACCCTTCAAAGCCTATGGTTGCCATATGGCAACAGAAACACCATTTTATCTATATACACTCAAAATCTAAACACATCTGTAGTTTGGATTGCCAGATAAAACCATACTAGAGATTCCCATCAATGAATAGGTGGTACTACCCAAGATCCTTGTACCACATCCGCCCACATGCTTGTGTCTGACGTTATGCAAAGTGACTTTTGTATGGGCGCTTATGGGGTTTGTTTAGAGCGTATGAAAATATATGAGTTGTTGAAATTGGACAAAAAACCATACGTCAAGAAAAAGTCATCGAAAAAGTGTTTCCCCGCTGTTTCTGTTTTTTTAAAAGGACCCGCTCCCGCTTTT